CAGCAAACAATGTTATCTTGGGCCAAGATAAGCATATCACATTTGCTAAATATCACTGAGAACTAAAATGACCTGAAATGAAACTGAAGTTGAGATTTTTAGTAACATGTTCTGTTACTTTAGTGCATGTCTGACTAGCTTGTTAGCGTCTATCATTGCAAGGATAACTGTAGCTTTCAGAAAACAAATCTCTGATTACAATGATTACAACTGATTACAATGTCCCTTTAAAGAATCCAGTCTTCAAGTATAGTGGATCTTACTAAGGCCCTAGAATGTTTTGAGCACATGGCATCAAACTCCTTAAAATATCAGGATGAACAGCAATCTGGTAGTCTGTGCCAGGAAACCTAAAGCAGAACTCAGCTCAAAGAAAATATTTTAGACAACTATTTTACAATCAACCTGCAAACACTCACATTAACACCAAAATACATTAAAAATCTGCTGCTGTTGTATCAACCTTCCAGGACACCCGGGCCCAACATGGAGAAGCAGTATTCAGTTGTCATCATGCTCCAAAGATCTAGAACAAATTTCCAAAAAAACTGTAAAACTGCTGGAAGACAGAGTTCCTTTAAAGTTGGACTAAAAACCCATCTGCTTAGATTTACCTTTGGTTAGTAGTAAGTCAAACATTTATCAACATATTTGATGTGTATTTGCTTGATGAATTTGATGATGCCGTTTGACAAAATGTAATGTTTGTTTCATAATAAACTTGACCTGTACATCTCTATTTCAAGCAGTTTCCAGTGTAATACACACTTAGCCATGGAGTATGAGACCAGAGGCCATCACGAGCGTGTGTTTAGGAACGGTCTCTAAAGTAGCGAAGCGCTCACCTTCTGAGTGGAGGGAGTGGCTATAGAGATGCCCATGCCGCTTCCCGGCAGGACCGATAGCACTTTGTACTAAAGGGGGATAAAATTAAATGTTATTAGTTTAGGAAATTCATTAAAGTCAAACAACATGGATCTTAGAAAGTGTTCAACCTTTTATATTCTGGAAAATATTTTCTGGCCTACAGGAAGGTGGAAAAGCGAGAATACCTTCTGGATGTCTGTGATGTCCACTAGCTTGATCACTTTATTCTTCTTGGAGGCGCTGGATTTGGAGCTGGAGCTCTCGAAGCAAAGATAACTGACGGACAAAAAGGGAGGGAGGGAGTAATGTCAGTCAAAACTGTTCTTTATAATTTCTTCAGTGGCGAGTTCCTCAACACAAGCGACGAGGGTTAAGCTTACTTCTCTGTGACGTAAAGAACTCCATTCCTGATGTAGTCCGTGGGCATCTTCCTATCTCTGTTTATCAGACAACACCTCCAGCCGTTCTCGCACACTAAGACAGAAAAAAAATAAAGAAAAACCTCCGATTCAGTTTGCAGCCTTCGACAACCTCAGTTGAGTGTTTACAGTGGTTGTAGTAAGTTTCCTCACCCGCCAGAGGGCGCTCTGTTTCCGGCAGGTTGAAGATCTCGTGGAAGGGACCCTTTTTGGTGCTGTGGGAGCGACCCGCGTCGTCTTCTCTGCTCATGCCGCTGGGGACGGTGGCGAGGCTGCTCCGAGACGCCACCGGCTGAACCTGGTGCAGGCAGGGGGACGAGGAGAGGTAGGAAGAAACGGGAGGAAGAACAAACAAAAAAGAAACCCCAAAGAAAAGATGACAATAATGAGATAGTCAACAACAGCAACAAAAGAAAATGAAACAGAATGAGGGGGGAAGACAAAGAGGTGAAAAGAAGAGGAAAGGGGGATAAAAGAGGGAGAAACAGGTCACGTGACTGAAACATCCTCCATAAATCATCTTTGGTTGTTAGTACTGAACAATGCGCGGCTCTGCATGTGCACTTCATTGCGTCAGGCTCAGGTGTAACGTGCAAAGCAGAGAGGGAGGCTGCCATTCAATCAGCCTCTGTATGAGCACAAACCAAAATGACACTGGTTAGTCAGCAGCGTCTTCCTCCAGCACTCACACATTTCAAACCTTTTCACATTCTAAATGCATTTTATTGCATTTCATTATGTAATTGACCAACACAATGCAGTGCATAATTGGAAAGTGGAAGGAAAATGAAACGTAGCTTCTCAAACCTGATAAACAATAATATGAAAAGTGAGAGAAGCATTCTTTGCAGATGGGGAGCAAAAGGTTCCAAGTCTTACTGCACATTTTTAATTGGACTTTGACTAGGCCATCATAACTACTGAATATGATTTGTTCAAAACTGTTGCATTGCAGTTCTAGCGCCATGTTTACAGCCCTGAGAGCCATTTGTGTCTTTGGTCCAGTTCATTGAAATTTGCTTAGAGCCACAAAAGCTACATGAAGGAAATTAGCTAATTTTCACATGGTCTGCTATGGGATTTTATTATAATTTTTTTTTATGAGAAAATATATTTATATATTTTTGTCTTTAAATTTTAAAGTACAGAAAATCAAACTTGAACATTTTTTCAAGGGAATGCCTTAGAAAAAAAGCACAAATTTTGCAACTAAGAAGTGACTCCATTAAAAAGAACAACAGATTAATTGCTTAATAGCCAACATGCTCTATTTCCAGGTGATTAAAGTCATGGTTTTAAAGCTTAAACATACTTTACACTTCTCAACTGATCATTTATACTCTGAATTATGGGAATTAGCGTTTAGAATAAAAGCAAATGCACACCACACTTCTTAGATTTTTAAAATCTGTGTTATTTTCCATCCACAATGATGCTGTAGATCGATAAGCTGAATAAATGTGAAAAGGCTCAAGTTGTGTGTATACTTTTGCAAGGCACCGCGTGTAATAATGCCAACCTTCACACTAGAAATGGATCCTGAGTGCTTTATAGTTCCAGCTGCTCTACATACAACTGCCACATAAAACTACCAGCATTTATAATTCTGGGTTTATTAGTGTTTGCTAAGGTAAAAAATAAAAATAAAAAAAAGGGGGCTTTATAAAGTAGAATAATAATATAAAAGAAACAAAAACTGTTCTATGTGCATCTTGATTACTCTATAACACTACTTCTTATTGAGCATCTTGCCAGTGGATCAGAAATGTCAGAAATGTTGGTGGTTCATGGAGAACCAAGTCGTTAAAAAATAAAATACAACTTTTTTTTTAAATCTTAATTTCTCAAATATTTTCTGACATTTTTGATCCATTCCATTCACAGTCACTGTCGGGTGGGATCCCGAGGTGTCACGCATCTCACACACACACACACACACGCTTTGAGGTGAGCTTATGGCACACCCACAGGCACAGAGGAGTGAGGGGGGTGGGGAACCAAAGGATGGGGAGTGGGAGGGAAAGAGCACACACCAGAGCACCCTACCTTCTCAATGCAGGAGAGCTGAGAGAGAGAAACAACAGAATGTACCTGAGACCGAAGCCACGCATGCTCACACACCTTTACGTAACCACACAGACAGAACAGGAAGTGAGTGGGGCTTGTGATGATTTATTAAGAGTGCTGATATTTGGAGGCTTTTTGATCTTCGTTTGTTTTTCACTCCTCTACGTGGTAGTGGGGGGTGTGGAGGTGTTCAGAGCTTTCAAGTCTAACCTGTTTAGGAAAGAACTGAGAGGGAAAAAAATAAAAAACAAGGGAGGCGTTTAGACCCACTTACCCGCCGGGACACAGTGGCGTTGGTCCGCTCTTTGAGCTGGGGATCTGTGGGGAGGCTGTTCCACACGATGTATGGCGTGTCGTACTTGTCCCGAAGCTTCGGACAGCTCTTAAACAGGAAGTCTATGATGAAGAACTTGATACCGGCATACACTCCTGTGGGGAGGAGACACGGAAATGGACAAAGGTTAACACTCCAAGTTATCCAGTCAGTTTGTTGTCATTTCAATTAATACAAAAAAAAATACTAAATTCCATTTCAAATTGAATTTATTTCTAGTTTTTTCTAAAAAATAAAATGACAAATGGCAGAAAGTATTTTCAAAAACGTGGCTTTTATTTCAATTTCTGTTGTACGACAGAGTATTAGAGACCAATTATGAGAATGTAGTATTAATATTAGATTAAAAACGCAATCCTACCAGAAAAAAATATCTTAAAGTTAAGAGAAAAAAATAATTGTAATGGAAAAAAAACTACGATAGTGATCAGGATGTGATGTCAGCAGTTCATGTAGTTCTTACTTCAAAATAGACAGTTGTTTGCTTCATTGCTTCAAGGTCCTCCTGCTAATAATAATTAGATTCTGATGTGCTAAAAGATTATCTGTACAACTTGTACCAACAAATAACTTCACCAGATACGCAACTCTCCCAATGTAACTGTTTTCGTTGGAATTCCCATACAACTAAATATTACAGCCGTATTCTATTGTCCTTATTAAAAAAATAAGAATACTCATCCAAGTCTGACTATAATATTCTGTTGTAGAGCTGACCTGAATTTCAAGCCAAATGAAAAGAAATTGTAAAACACAAAACAAGATTGCGGCTAATCTCACTCTGAACTATGAGAATCCAAAGAATGCTTTGTTTAGGGGGGTAAAGTCCAGATTTTACCCCAAAAACTGAATATTCAAAAACATAAAATTTGATTAAACGATAAAGCAGATTTATCGCCCAGCCCAAGTTACGATTTCAAAACCACAAGAGTTTTCCTTCATGACGTTGCTAATTAAGTTCCTTTGGAACTAAAGTTCCTACATGATTTTTCATCAAAGGTTTCATGTTTCCTTCACCAACATGTCAAGAATTCTGTCCTTTTTTAGTCAAATTTCAATATATTTCTACAAGTATCCAGCTTTAAGCACTGAACCTGGAGAGATAAAAGGCTGAGATAACTGGTCAGTTTCGTCCCATACTTTCCAAAACCATTTACAAACAGATCAGATAAGCAACCAGCTGCCACTCACAGGCAGGGCAGAGGAAGGTTACACAGCTACTGTATGAATGCATTTGTTTGTGTGCAATGAATGAAGAAAGAAGAGCTCCATTTATTCGAGGTCCTTCGGCAATATTTAGAGAATGTCAGCTGGATGAAAGATAAATAAAAAAGGGGAAGTCTGTGTGTGTGTGTGTCTCACCCATCATAAAACCCATCAGCTTGTACGGGAGGACGCAGGAGAAGATGAAAGCAACCCACAGGCAGATGTAGAGCTTCCTGGTGCTGTCTGGCTGCACCCACATGAACAGACTGCAACACACACAAGAAAGAAATGCACACAGAATAAGTCGGAGTTTCACGGCATGCGGGGCAGGATGAGGTTTCAGGTGGAAGACTCACTTCTTTATCTTCTCCAGAACGTCGGCCATCTTACCGAAGATGTTCTGTGGAGAGAAAACACCAAAAACCATCACATTTTTCCTCCATTTTTTTATTTATTTTAAGATTGATTTTGTTTTCAAATAAAAAACATCCTACCTGAGCTTTTTGTGCAACATCGAGTACAAGCTGAAACTTTTCAGATACAGTTAGGTCTTCCTTTGGGGGCTCCTAAAAATATGAAGGTAAATTAGTAAATTAAACTAAAGTGCATTTTCTTCTGATCTAGAAGTCTTTGTCGTTCTCCTACCATGGGTTCAGACACTTCAGGCACAATGCTCCACTGAATCCTCCACCCTCTGACGGAAACAAAAAAAAAACCAATTTAACCAACACCTACCTTGTTTAACATTTAATCTGCTTTAATGCAAAAAATAAAATAAAATAAAATAAAGCACCTGGCAATGAGGTAATTCAAAGACAAGCGCAGGATGGCCAGGAAGAGGAACATGGGAATGGCCCAACCATGCCAAGCAGCATTCATGTAGATCTAAAGGAGAGAAAGAAACATTTAGTTAGCACCAGCAGCCATGAAGCCCTGCATGAAATCCAAAAAAATAAATTTCAGAAGTTGCTCAATTACTAATAAGACATTTATCCTTCTTTATCTCTACTTGGTAAATTTGTTTTTGTGTTTTCCATCCTAAAAATGCTGAAACTGAAGGTTTTGACTTGATAAAACAAGGGAAAACCTGGAAGGTTTTAAATGCTTTTGCAAGACCACAGAACAAGTGGCTGAAGACGATTTGGCACATCAATGAAGATCTAATTAGACCACAGCAGTCTTTGGCAGAGTCACTAAAACCTATAAACAGAAGTCACTGCCTCTCATTTCGGCTTTTCCTCATGAGCCGACGCCAACTGGGATCAATGCTTTTCCCTTTTAAATCCTAAAAACCAAGATGACATGTAGCGGTTTTATGTGCAGCTTTCACTCACAATGAAGGCAATAGCTGAGGTGTAGACAGAGTGCCAGTTAGATAAGGCGGAGAGGTTCCTTAAGAAGTTAGTGACAGGTCTGGCTCCTCGTTCTGAAAAAAACAACAACAAAAAGATGCGAAACATGGGTTAGAATTATTTCATACAAGTTTATATAATATAGTGTTTTGTGGTGACATTACATCACCATCTCTGTTTTTGGTTTGTGTGGGTGTTGTTTTTGCACTCACTGAGTCGCCTCATGTTTTCTGTCAACCTGAAAGGAGAAGAAGGAAATAAACAGGTTAGGAAAGTGCACAAAAAAAGAAAATTAAAATTTAACAAGTAGGAGGTCAGACCTCAATGTAGCCTTCATAAGTCTATGACTCACACTCCTTCATTAGAGGAAGAGAAATAAATCCTCCAACTTCCTACATGCAAAATAAAAGCTGATCTAAAGATGCTGTCTAGCTACCAGGACAACACTACTAAATATTTTAAATATAAAGTCAGTTCAACAAGTTTTAACCATAAAATCTGAAAGAGCTCCAGTCTGTTGTCCCTCTCTGTATTCACCGGTTCCGTTTTGGAGGAAACCCGACTCACCTTTTAGCACTTAGCGGCTCCTCCGTCTCCACAGTGCTCTCCTCCGGCTGGAAGCGGAAGTCTTCTATGTAAACCCCGAACCGTTCATAGAGCCACTTCTGCAGCCGCGAACTCCACACCTCCTTCTGCTGCTGCTGCTTCTCCGCTAAACACAGAGGAAGCACAGCACACAGGTCAGAAGTGGAACTGTGGATACACACTGAGGTTGGTGTGGCACAAGTTTTCCCCCTTAAAACAGTATTTTAAGAAGTTATTGTAGTAAAATTGCATCTTTATTCTGCTAATTTTATGACTATATCTTCATAATTAAACAGAAATTCTATATATACTCCATCTATAACTTCTTAGTTAGGAACACAATGCTGTTCAACAAGACTCCTTACAACACCACTAATATTATTATTACTATTATGACTGAATTATTACGTTAACACTTTAAAGTACTGATTATTAAGGCAAATGAGCAACATGGTACATTAATGTGTGCTCACTTTGTTTTTCTGGTCTGAACACGCACCACAAGAGGCAGTGTTAGTTTGAGAAGATGAAGGAGCTCATTCTATCAAAGTTGACTTCCAGTGACTTCTCTGTGTGTGTGTGTGTGTGTGTGTGTGTGTGTGTGTGTGTGTGTCTGGCTTTAAGAGAAAGGAAGATGCCAGAGTGCTGTCAGTGGGGAGGGAGGCTGGAGCTAATTTAGAAAAATAGGTTATGATTGTGGATCACTTCATGTAGGTCAGATGAGTCCGAGTCTTACCTTGAGTCGAGGCTGAGGTGTGTGAAGGAGTGTTTGCAGAAGGAGGAATGATTGAAACTATGATTGTCGTTAATATTTTGTTTTGACTTAAAATTGGTAAATGCACTTAAGCTGCAAGTGTGTGTGTTACAGTCGTCACTCACACTGCGGTCTGATCTACAGCTGTCTCCATTTCAGTAGATCCTCTACAGCCCTTCCTGAAACCTGAAGCCCCGCCTCCATCTTTTTCATGTACTTTTCCCAAGCTCACCTCTCTCACTCGTTTCCCTTCTGAGCCCGACCCAACCCCTCCGCTCCTCCCTCGGCGACGTACCTGTGCCATTGTTGGAGGGCGACTGCTGTTTTCGGGGAGGCTGCGGTGGAGAGTCCTCCAATCTGAAGGTGGAGAAAGAGAAAAACACGGATGATTTGTGACGACACAAACGTTGGCGTCGCACGAGAAACGTCTTCGGAAACAACAGCTGCCATGACGGATTGATTGGAAGCAATTTTAGACACAATCTGTCCGAGTTGAGACAACAAGCTAACAGCAGGTGCTCAACAATGCCCGAGAAAAAAAAAAAAAAATTGAACCCTCTGCAAAATCAATGATATATTCTTCTTGAAATCTAATCTATAAATATAGACTCAGCTGTCACGATTCCTCAAAGCAGATGAAGAATATGACATGAATATAAGCAGCAGCTAAATGACAAGAAATTGTAAAATGAATGAAGGATTCCTTTGCCATCCATTGATTCCTTTGAGAAATCAATGGATGGCAAAAATCTTCTAATTCCTGCCTGAGCCAACTGGAAATCTTAAAAATCTGATTCTTCAATCATTAAACTATACACAAGTTAGATTCGCCTCTGCTCCTATCGTACATAATAACGAGTATTTCCTGTTAACCAGAGGATAAAACATTTCTAATATATTTTAATTGTGGTGTTTAAAGAGAAATCTAAATCAAAATTGGACTCTGATCACTTCATCTCCAAGATAAAAATGAAATGCGGTTAAGGACAATACTCTGTATTTTTATTCTTAACAGCTACAAATTTTTCTATGATACTAAATTAAATGCTAATCTTACCTCAAAGCAACTCTGTCACATTTTAAGCCATTTTTTGTTTTGGCAAGCCATAAGTAAACAATTGCTCCTCTGAGCCTCACAGGAGGTCTTTTCCTACGCTGGCCAACTGCTGATACATTATAATTCCTATTTAGGAGGAATTAAAATCATTTTTCTCTTCTTTTTTTTGTGTCTGATTTAGTTTCCCAGCAGACTCCAGCCAGCTGGAAGCGAGCGACTAGAAAATCAAAGCTCTGTGTTCAGGACTCCTGTGGCTTCTCCCACATTCCTGAGGCCGTGTGGCTGTACTGATAATCACTCTGAGATCTCCAGAGGAATCTCTCAGTGGCGAGTGGGTTGCACGCTAACCAGCCAGAGTCCCGCTGACACTAGCACAGCCACGGGGTCACACGGAGCGGACGGTTGCTCAGATCAGCTCGTGACTTGGTCCCGTTTTTTTCCGTCTCCTACGAAGCTCAGCTCCTTGAGGAATTCCCCGCCTACCAAGCAGCTGATGCTATTTATAACGGGAAGCCTTGGCTGCCGCCAGCACTGGTAAACAGACACACACTTTGACCTATGGTGAACTCTGCAGGGCCGAAACGAAGCATTCGCTCCAGCTCACCTCGTCCTGAGGACCTCGTTCATCTTCTGCTCCAGATCCAGCCGTTTACTCCGCTCCCTCTCCAGCTCCTGCCGCAGCGAGTCCACATTGGTCTCTTCCCGCAACTTCCTCAGCTCCTCCTCTAGAAAAGGATAGAAATTCAGGAGTTCAGTTTGCAGGATTCCCTTAGTGAGACGACAAAGCAGTCGTAAAGAGAGGCGCACACACAGAGTCAAAGTTTAAACTGACTTTCGAGCAGTTTTTGAGACGTACGACGCTTTCATTTCCTCATTCGGTTTCACATCACTAACAGAAACAGGAAAGGGAAAAAAAAGAAAAGAAAAAAAGCGAGCTTTTGTTTTAAAAGTGGAGTCCGGATCAACCTACATAAGCTGGTTTCAGGTATCAGGACTTTCAGAGTGTCGACTGCAGCATCAGCAGAGTTTCCTCTCACACTATTGTCCCGGACTAAAGGGACACATGAATATTGGAGGAGGGAAGAGGCCAAGAAAAGCGGGCAGAAGCGATGGCGCTGTAATGCTGCTCAAAAATACGCATTAAATCCCCCAAATGCAGAGAAATAATCTTCATTAAACATGGATCCTATGATAGTTATGAGAAAGAGCCATGGTGTATATTTATCACACATCCATTAAGGGTTTTAATTCACAAAAACAATTTGGCTGTCGCGGTTTCGTTCTCAGCCAATTTCACGTATTACTTTTGTCCTTCATCGCCTCCCTTTAATGCTAATGAAACATTTACTGTCTGGACCGCCAGCTGCTCAGGCATCAGCTTAACATGGAGTCAAAAGGTTTACACTTTGGTTGCCCCGTTTCCATTTTACATCTCACTGGACAGAGTGCAAAATATTAATTTAAACTAAAAAAAAAGAAATCCCTCCATTTTGATAACGATGTTTAAAGTACATAGTATAAGGCAACTTTTCTTTAAATTATGCATATCAGTAACTCATGGAGCCATTTAGGAATAATTACAAAGAAAGAATCCAAACAAAGTGTGTTCAGGTACCTGACCTTCCTGCTCAAATTAAAAGCTTAAACACAACATACAAAGAAAGTCCCAAAAAAAAAAAAATTCTTGCCAAGTTTTTTGGCACTTAGCCAAGAGAAATAATTTTGGATATTCTTGCTGACCTAAAAACAAGAAATGTTTAATCTGATTTAATTTCAAACAGTGAGAAATCTTGAAAACACTTAATTGTAACTTTCTATTATTTTGACCATTACTTTTGTTTTACCAGTCCCTCGAGATAAAAATCTTTTTTTTTTTTTTAAAGGGAGACCTGGCTTTTGTCTGGTTCTCTAAAATGCATTTGCTCTAAAAAATAAAATTCAGCAGCGATAGAAACGCAAGTCAGTATCGAGAACTCCTTAAAGCTTATTTATGCAACGCTATTCTAATCTCGCCTTCAACACTTCTGCACATGACCAAACTGTAGCCTCGCTCGGTGACTGGTACGGCCTTTACGGCATAAGCAAGTGGCTGGTCAAAGGTTGACAAAGGGGAGTAAGCGGCTTAATGCTCGCCTGACGGCGCCACGCCAGAACCTTCCACAGCTGAATATAAACCTGATAAAACACAGACAGAAGCTGGAAAGCGTTTGCGGCAGATGTACTTCTGCACAAAAACAGACAATAAAAAGTTGTGTTTGAGTAGCTGATCTCTTGTCGGTTCCTCTGGTTGAAACAGAAGTTCATCTTAATTTTTTTTTTTAAAAAGTACATGAAAGAAAATGTGCCTCGTCCCAGAAGTCCATCCAGGACACCGCTGTGGAAATGGGGCATCCAGCTTGTGATACAACGCAGCATGACACAATACGCTATGTGTGTCAGACAAAAAGAGCGGGAGTACAGTCATGCCCCTGTTCCAGAGTGGCTCTATAGAGTTAGATACCATATTAATAATTCTGTCAATATGCCTGCCTGTTCTGCTTCTAAAATAGCACTGCTGACTTCTAGAGAAAATGCTCTAAGTTAAAGTATCACAGGGCATCTTTGGCAAACTGAAGGTCAGGAACTGAACCATTTATCTGCAGCACAGAATAAGGATTAGCGAAATGTCAAGGCAAGAGTGGTCACTTTGAATCACAGTGACCTTCCTCCGGTGCGAGCTTCTAGGAAAAAGGAGGGGGAGGAGAATTAGGTGCTGGAAACCAGAAGAGGATAACATCTGGAAAACCATTTTTTAATCCCATTTACAGTTATAATTTGAGTTTAGGGATGGTGTGTTACTGAGGTATGAAAAGGTTTTAAAGGCTATTGAAACTGGTGATTAAGTTTGGTAATATTTTCTTGATTGGTTACTTATTCAAAAGTTACTGAATAAGTGACCAACCACAGTATCAGCATTTCTTAAAATCAAATTTAAGACTTTAAGATGTTTTAATGTCACCTTGAAAGAAATTTAAAACCAAAAAACGATGAATGCAGGGGAAATGGTTGAGGGATCCGGTATTACAATAAATCATAGCTAACATTTCTGTGGTTTGAAGCTCTTGGTAATAACTTGCTGCCAAACTTAAAGGTTTTTTGCACATAGCCTCGTATGAATTGCCAAGAGAAGTGATGAACAGTGGCAAAAACAATGTCATCCAGCCAACTGCCCATAAATTTGCACTTACTCATGATAGATGCAAAACAGCTAGCTAGCTTGCGTACTAGGGTATCTTAGCAGCTAGTTAGCGGTAGCGTCGACCCACTTGCGTCACAGAACGCAAAGGAGATGTCTGCGTGCAATTCAAACTCATGCCCGACAAAAAAGTCTTGCAAGGAAATAAAAATAATAAAAATACAAAAATGCACAAGATTAATTAGTTCTTCCAAAGCAAAATTTAAGACCTTTTGATTGACAACTTATTTCATTGCTTTTTTTTGAAGAAAGACATTTTAAGGGATAGATTTTAGACGTGACTTTTAGACTTTAAGGATGAGCAGACACTCTGCAGCACAATGTTCTTTAAAACATGTTTTAACCAATTTCATGTCCACCATTGTAGATCAAACCAAGCATGAAGCTGTACAAAGATAAATTAAGATGGTTTATTACAATCTGGACAAACAATTTGTTTTCACAAACCGTTATGTTTTTTGTTTGTTTGTTTTGGGAGGGGTGAGGGGGTGCTTAGAATAAAATGACTCAAAGATAGAATCTTGAATTGTTCCATCAGTTGGCAACTCCATTGTGGTCATTTCCTTTTGCTCCAAAAATGCTGCCAACCACAACTAGAACAGCAGTTGATGATGAAACTTCCTGTTCCTGTGCAGGCACACAGCCTCTTGGTGCTTGTGACAACAATCATGAACTGCAACCATTAAAGGGAAACTTGCTGGTGACCAACAACAACAACATGGCGTTGACATTTTTTGTTGTCGTTTTGCGGTTGATGCTGTTGATTACGTCGACCAAAGCAAAGGTAGATTAAGCGATTACCAAAACCAACACGTGAAACAACTTTTATGCACCATTAAATCTCTAAGAAAAATGTACTCTTGATTGGTCAAAATCCAGGTTCTATTTCTGACTAGACAAGTGAAAAGACACCTCAGAGGAAGAGATGAAAGCTTGCTGAGAGTTAGCCAAACTATGATCAGCTATAAAGGATCTTATTTCTGCTCACATGTACCTCAGGTGTATAAATATAACCTAGCTTAAAAATAATTTTAAAAAATCAAATTACATCTTAGTAAAATTCTAAAACCCTTTGGCCACAATTTCCAGAGTCTAAAGGTCACAAACTTACTGAGGTTGAAGTTACTTTTATGGCTTTTGATCCTATCCACTGCTCCACTGTAGAGCAGCTCAAATCTGTCAAAGGTGCAGTCCTCCAACTTGCATATGCCCATACGTCTCTGTAGCCGTCCACTTCCTGGGACGCTTGCGCAGGACGGGGACGGCAGGGTGGCCGCCTTGGGCTTGTCCTGAAATTGCGCCAGGGCTTCCCGCTGTTCGGCCTCTTTCTGCTCCAGAAACTACTCAAAGTTCCCCCAAACGCCGAGCTACAGCGTGCGCCACATTTAAGTTTCATCCATAAGGTGAGGCAAGCGGCTGGAGGACAGGATCCTGTAGGCAAATTTTAATCAGTCGCAACAAAGCAGGGCCTGCACGCAGAGTGATGGTCGGTGGTGGAAACCCCTCCCTCTCTACCTCCATGCAGTGGAGGTAGAGAGGGAGGGGTGGGGCTTTGCTGGGTGTCTGGCGCACTCAGAGGGCTCAGAAGGAGAGATTTCCAAACACACCAGAGTGGTCAAATTATCTAAAAAACATCTTTCTGAACAACTTTGTAAAAATATGTCTCAAATCATTTGGCTTTTAGCAACTTTGCTATTGTATAGTGCTTTGGTATACTGTAAATACTGTACAAGATGCTTCCTTTTAACAAACTGGGTAAACTTTTAAGACCTGAAAGGGAAAAGTACAGCACCGCTTTCTCTAAACCAGTGCAGAGACAATGGCTCCTTTCAGTAAAGGATGGAGGAGGAGGTGGGGGACTCGGTGGTGGTGGGGTGTGTGGGGAGACACAGAGAAAATCAGCCGCTTCACACTGGCCTCTTATTGTTCACATGTACAACAATGTTTGCCAAAGCACTAGTTGACTTGGACATAAGGTTTGGGGCCTCCAGCCAGTCTGCAGATCGTCAGACCGACCAATGGAGAAGCCCAGATCGCGGATGGAGGGGAGGGCGTAGCAAACAAAACCAGCTCAAACAGCGCTAAGCAAGAGGTTGAGATAAGATGAAAAGCGGGCTTAGTTTGTTTGCTCTACCTAGTGTTTAAAAAGCTTATGGTTGTGTATTTTCAGCTGTAAACAAGTTAAACTCAAAATGTCAAGAATGTCAGTTAAAGTTCAAATCAAGTCATGATATTTCATAGTTGGATTCAAAGTGTAATGAATCAGAGGAACTAAAACCTTTGTATATCTACACTGATATGAGGGGAATCTTATATCCATACATGGGTGAGTGATCAAATTTTATTTTTAAAGTCTAATACACGCCTGAAACAAGAAGTCACTTATATTCTGTCAATTTTTAGGGATGCACCAGTCTGATACATGAGGCTTGAATTGACTTCAAATTTTTCTTTTTTGTGTGTACCAAATTTGAAATTTGATAACTCTGC